TTGCTCTGTATTTGCAGGTATCAAAACTGAGCTGGATCGAGAAAAAAATGGCTGCTACTCTGTTTGGAAAAATACCATCTTCAACTGTACAGGAAGCTTTGCAAAATTTCCTTAAGGTACATTTTGTCTATCCGTTATTTCAGTGTCCAACCAGCTACCACCTCCACCAGTCCCTGCTGCCCTTATTATCAAGGAAATCTTTTCTCCATGAGAAGCCCCAGTTTGAATCTCATTAATACTTCTGGCATGTTGTTTTAAGCCTCTTATAATGCAAGTTATGTTTGTTTGTTTGTTTTTGAGACAGAGTCTTGCTCTGTCACCAGGCTAAAGTGCAGTGGTGTTATCACAGCTCACTGCAACCTCAAACCCCTGGGCTCAAGAGATCCTCCTGCCTCAGCCTCCCGAGTAGCTGGGACTACAGGTGTGCACCACGACGCCTGGCTAATTTTTCTATTTTTAGTGAAGACGGGGTCTCACTCTTGCTCAGGCTGGTTTCAAACTGATCTCAGTGATCCTCCCACCTCAGCCTCCCAGAGGGCTAGGATCACAGGCCACAAGTTATGTTTTAAATGTAAACTTCTTAGAGCAGCTAACTATGCCCTAGGTCCTAGGAATAATAGTCTACTTTTAAACAATAACTCAGCAGCCTAAATGGAAGTTTAGGTATAGCAGCCCTTACTACCAAATCCAGGAGTAGCTTTCCAAGTCATGTGAGCATATGCAGAAACAATCATGCCCTGATTATTAGACTTGGTCCCAATACTCCTGATTTACCTAATATGAAACTAGTTTAATCTTAAATAATGAAAAAATGCCAAAAGGAAGGCTTATCTTAAAAGCCCCCTCCTAAGTTGCAGACACGTCTATGGAAGATTTTTGGAACATGAGAACAAATCAGTATTTTCCTTCCTATCTTAAAATGTATAATTGCTGTACTAATACAACTCTGAGCAGTAATAAGTTTGTGGGCACACATATAAATGTATAATATATCCACCCATATAATCGACATCCTCTTGTGCTAACCCCTTCACCTTTCTCTGGAACCAGTTATAAAATCTTATAGTTACTAAATGTGTTTTCCTTTCCAGCCTACCTATTTCAGGTTTATAAAAATACAGAGGAGATCAGGCTCTGATCTGTATTGTCCAGCATCTTGTACGTGCTAATATTTGTGTTGTATTTCAGGGATGGATTTTGTAGGGTTGAGAGGGAATTTGGAAATCAAGTAGTCTCAAATGGAGAATAGATTTCCTCTCGCTTTCCCTCTCTGACCTGTGGCCAGTGGCTGCCTAGAGTGCTATATGAAAAAATAAGTGTTCTGAAATCAAGCAGGAGCCCAACAGAAAAAAGTACAGGAAATAAAAGCACATGAGCCATACATTTTTTATTTAACATGATCTTCTTTGTTTTTTAAAAAGGTAATAATATCTCAGGAACTTAACTTGTTCAGTTTCACACAATGGCAATCAAAGAATTGATTTAAGATATGAGTGAAGTCTAAGACTACATCATCCCCATTTCTTCACCTTTTTTCTACCACTGAGAATTAGTTCTCTCATTTTAAATTTTATAAGAATATGGATCATGGTATATTTAAGATAAAATATCTCTATAAAAGGTTCCAAGTTGATTAGCAAAACTGTTATTTGAACTTGAAACTCATTTCCTCAAAATCTCAAAGTTATAACTGGGGATTAGGTTTTCAGAACATGACAAAAGTACCTGAAATAAAACACAGACAAAATCAAAAGTGGTAAGTGGACTGGGTGGGATGGCTTGTGCCAGTAATCCCAGCTACTCAGGAGGCTGAGGCGGGAGGATCACTTAAGGCCAGGAGTTTGAGACCAGCCTGGGCAACATAGCAAGACCCTGTCTCCAAAAAAAAAAAAAAGAAAAAAATAGTAAGTGGCACAATAATATAGAAGTAAGGGGTGAAAATTCTGGAACCAGACTTCCTGGTTAAATCTCAGCTCTATCACTTCCCAGCTGACTAACATTGGACACATTACTTAACCTCTCTCTCAATTTAATAAATAACATGGGGATACTGGTATCTACCTCAGAGAGGTGTTATGAGGATTATATTCATTAATACAAGTAAATTGCTTAGAGTATGCCTACCACCTAGTAAGCCCCCAATAAAAACTCACAAAATGTTAACTTTGTTAAAATTTAAACATCTCAGCAAACCATCTTGGGGACTCCACCATTTGCTCATGACTTATACTTCTGAATGAAAATGTGTTCCGTGGTGTTTGTCAAAAGGGAGCGGAAAGGCATCTGGAATGCTCCTCCCATATTTACTGCCACAGCTGAGGGTACTGAGGAGCCTCGCTGTGGAGGGTTGAGGCTGCGGAGGAACTAAGACATCAGGAAGTGGAGGACAGGAAAAGGGCACAGCGCAGACCTTGGGTCCCACACCCTAGGAGAGTCTGCAACCCCCATCCCCACAGGAGGCCAAGTTGTTGGAACCAGACTATAGGACTCCTGGCCCCAGCCCATCCCTCCCAGTGGCCAGGAATGTGTCTGCAGAGCCATCCATGGGGTCCCACAGAGGTCGAGAGCACTGGCTTTAGTGTCAGACAAACGAAGTTGAGACCCGAGCCTTTTCCTGTCTGTAAGACCCGGACACATTTCTTTATTTCTCCTACTCCCAAATTCTTCATCTGTAGAGTGGACATCATAATATTAATACCTATTTTGTACGGTTTTGTGGCGATTACATAAAATAATACATGTAATTTTCTTGGCCCAGAGTCTAGCATGTCAAATGTTCTAACTAAAAATAAATGTTAGCTACTATTATTTTGCTCTTATATCAGGAAAAATCTTGTCCTCCACAATCTCAAATCATGCATGGAGGTGATTTTAGACAATTTGAGTAGTCATCTGTGAATCACCTGTAGGAATTCTTTCAAACTATAATATGCTTCCCACGTCATCCAAAATTCTGGCAGGATTCCCTAGGGCAGCGGCTCTCAAACTTGGCTATACGTTAGAATCATCAGGGGAGTTTTAAAAAATGTCATCCCAGGCCATGACCCAGACAGATTGTTTCAGAATCTCTGGATGTATTGAAGTATATTGGGTATATTGAAATATAGTTTATAAGCAATAAGCAATAAATTATACCCAAGTATAATTTATTAAGTGCATAGTTCAGTGAGGTTTGACAAATTTATATACCCACGTAACTACCACCATTTCAAGATACAGAGCATTTCCATCACCCTAGAGAGTTATCTTTGCTCCCTTGCTACAAATTTTCCCCACCCCCTGCCCCAGGTAACCACTGACCTGCTTTCTGTCACTTTAGTAGTAGTTTTGCCTATTCGAAAATTTTATGTAAATAGAATCATACGGCTTGTACTTTTTTGTATATTTAGCTTCTTTGGCTCAACATAATGTCTTGAAGTTCATTCATTTTATTGAGTGTATCGGTAGTTCCTTTCCATTGCTGAGTAATATATTCCGTTATATGGACATAACCACAATTTGTTTATGTGTTAAACTATTGAGGGACATTTGAGTCGTTTCCAGTTTGAGACTGTTATTAATACAGACAAATATTCTGTGAACATTCATATACAAGCTTTTGTGTGGACATATTTTTACTTCTCTTGGGTAAATGCCTAGGAGTGGACTTGTTGGGTCATATGGTATGTGTTTTTAAAACTTGATCAGTGTTTTTAAAAGTCCTGAGGCGATTCCGATGGCAGCCAATAGGATGGCTGGAAACCACAGGACCAGAGGATAGGTGTGCGTAGTGGATGATGAATGTGGCAGTCCTAGGGTACAGGCTGCCCTGACTGCACCCACTGTTTGTAATCATATGATCCCTGACTCTCTATTAGTGGCTTCACCAGCTGCAGAGCTTTCTGCTATGTCCTGATATGGTAGAAGGCTGCTGCTTGGGTTGTGAGATGTTTTAAAGCAAAACCAATTTATTAAATGGTGTTTATTAAGCACATAACTAGTACCAAACACGGTGTCAAATGCTGGGAACACAGAAATGACCAAAACAGGTCCTGCCTTTAAGGAACTTGGATAGCCAAGACCGAGTGGACATGTATAATATACTTTGCCGGCTGTTAGGATAAAGAGTCTTCTAAGAGCCTCTCTAGAAACTGCTCCTTAATTGTAACGTTGAACTGACTAATGCTGCCTTCCTTGTAATTCACCCAGGGCCTTTGGTAAAAGGTTAGAATCTGCTCCGCTTTAGGAATTCAATGTCATGAGTAGCCTGTGTTCCTTTGGGCTTCATTTTGTTTTTTTTTTAACCATGAGAACAAAAAGAGGTATTCTAATTTATAATCACTTTGGTTAATTAAGCATAGGTCTTAAGATATATATGCGAGTTAAAATGCCAGTATTAAAGACATAAGATGCTTATGTTCATGTACTGGGGCAATTTATCCAGACGGGATTTGGACAGAGCTGAAGCAACTACTGGACTTAGAAGAAGGCATCATTGAGCAAAATTCAGTCTAAGTTCCTCTTATTAGGATGGCTCAAGAAATGTACTCACCAAACTAGAAACATTGAAATGGAGATGATTAGACAAAAGAGAAGAAACAGGAGAACCAGAACCCATCAGCACTGTGGATGGCTCTACAGGATGTTCAAGGCTCTGGCTAGGACTGAATGTGACAACTTCCTTTAACTGTTTGTGGCTTTACTGTCTCTCTAGCAGGTTCCACCCCAGGTCCAGACACTGTTCACCTACCTGGTCTTAAAGAGTTCCACCCAGTCTGGCTCCCCACCCCAGGAGATTTTGTCCTCCTCATCCCAGAACCCTTACCTTTTGGATCCTGTAGAGATTAAAATGTCCTTTACAAAGGATGTGCTCTCTTAAGATGCTGAACCACTCCTCGGCACCCTACCTTGGATTCCCCTTAAAGTATCTCATTGCTTTGTAAGCTTTATGAGGATAGTAATCAATTTTATTTTAATGGCTAAATAAATGCAAAAGCCATGTCTCTACCCAAAAGATACTTAAATTGATAGTATAATTCAAATGTGAAATAGTCAACCTAAATTCTTGGGGCAATTTGGTTGATAATATTTGATTTATTAAAATATATTCTCTTCCCTTGTGGTTATTGTTGTTTTAATATTGTCCTGTTACTCTCTTGTCTTTTTCTCTTAAATCAGGCTGAAGAGCTATACCCTGGTTATTCTAATCCCAATTACCTGTACTTGGCAAAGGTAATGAAGACCACTCTTTTACGGTCACTTTGACCCCATTACATAAAAATGTGATTACCTTTAATATGGGTTATTTTTTCATTTCCAGTGTTATATTGATATTGAGGAAAAACAGAATGCTTTGAAGTTCTGTAATTTGGCATTATTGCTCCCTTGTGTTACCAAAGAGGTAAGTCCAGACAGTGACAATGAGTACTGTTATCTTCTTAATACTATTCATGTTCAAAATATGAACACCTGGCTTAGATACAAATGAAGTTTTCTTTCTTTAGTAGATTTTACTACTTATTTTTATTTTTCCAGATTTATTGAGGTATAATTGACAAATAAAGTTATATATAGGTAAAGTATACGACAGGATGTTTTGATACACATATACATTGTGAAATGACTACCATAATCAAGCTTATTAACATATCCATCACCTTCTTGAAGCAAATTTCAAGTATACAGTACAGTATTATTAACTGTAATCACATTGCTGTCCTTTAGATCTCTGGAACTTATTCACCCTGCATAATTCAAACTTTGTATCCTTGATCAAAATCTCCCCAATTCGTCCACCCTCCCAGCCCCTGGCAACCACCATTCTGCTCTACGCTCCTGTGCTGGAGTTTTCTTTTGTACTAAAACATTTTGACTTGGATTTTACACGTACTATAGAGTTTTAAAATTTGCTGTTATCTCTGTAAGATAACCTATCCCCAGGAAGCCCCTTGAATCTTTAAGGGACATGCAAACTATGGGCTAGCAGCTAAAACATCCTGATGCTTGTTAGATATAAGAGAGCAGAGAATGGGACAAGCCCCTGCGAAGGAGACGGAACAGCGTAATTCTGGGGAGCTGGTGATTAAACTCTGTAGGCAGCAAACAAACTAGACAGGCTGTCTGGCTTAGAGCAAGGTGAGGGTCTGGGGGGGTCGCCATTCTCGGTCCTCAGCTTACAGCAGGGTGTGGCTATCCAAGTTCATGAAAAAGATTCAAAGTATATATTAACATTTTATTGGTTTTGGCACCCCTGCCATCAATCAAAAAGAAACTATTGCATTGCCTCTTATCCTTTTATTCAATAATTCAGGATTCTGGATCTGCTACAAGTTTCAGGCATTCTGCAGAGTTAACAACTCAGTCTGTGCTTCTGTGAGCCATTGTCTAGTATTGTGGGAACGAAAAGAAATAGGTAAACGTTTTCCTGCTCCCTTCTCATACCACCAGACATTATCATCCTCTCAGTCATAATAGAAAGGAAATGCCTCAGGAAAAGCGCTCCTCTTTTTCTGTATTCGAGCAGTATAGGCTCCAGTATTAGTTGTGATCTGGAATATAAGCAAACACATGCCTATCCGCCGCTTGGAGCCTGTAGCCTCAAAGAGAACCTGTGGCATATATCCAGACAACTGCAGCTCTAGAGAGAAAGCATGAAGCGCTAAGAGAAGTACAAATACTTACTTACGTAAATCTGGAAAAGGGAGAAATTTTTTTTTCCTGGAAGAGGTCAGGTGGCCTTGGAGGTGGACTTTGAAAGATCTGTATAATGCGGATGTGTGGGCAAGTACACTGCAGGTCGTGAGCAGAGGCACAGAAGTGAGAAAGCAAAGATTTGTTTACCTGGAGCAGGAGAGGGCAGGGCAGTCACGGCACCTAAGGCTGAACAGGGAAGTGAAACGAGATCTGCCAAGGAACTTCAGGATTAGAGGGTGCCTGAGTCTCTAAAGAGGGCTCCTCAGGCTCAAGGAGCTGGTCTTGGACTGCTTCTCTGTATCTCCCAGATGTTTGGAATTTCCCGCAGAGTTGATCGTCTGTCCCAACTCAAATCCCTCAGTTGGTTCCATCAGTTATAATAGGAAGCGCAAAATAGCGCGGTCGTAACAGTGGCAGTCTTTCTCCAAAAGACAAGGGTTCTGTGTAATTTTTTCAGCAGAAAACAGATTTTGTTCCTCTGGTTGCCTGCTCTGTGTTGGTGATTGGGACTCTATTGTCTCTCACATCTTTCCTGAATGATGTCGGTTTGGGTTATGTGCAGTCATTTTACACTGAATGCGCATTCTTATTAGAGTATAAGATTACAATACAATGTGATAATGAGGTATAACACCTGGTTTGACATGGAAATGTTTATGCACGAAATTCAGAGCTCTCACAGGAGGGCTAAATATTGATGAGCTTCAGGGCTTGGTCCTTGATCCATACGTCTCCTGTCTGCTCTCCCCTTTCCTCCTTTGCCCCTCCCCAAACTGATCCTCCATGGCTTCAAATGCTGCCTGCATGCCAGGGTTCTCCAATTTTTATCTCTAGACCTCTCTTCTGAGCTCCAGAACTGCTTACCCGACTTCCTAGTTACCATCTCCACTTGGATGTCTCTCAGACACCTCAAACTTGACTTGTCTTAAGGCCTTTGGAGCTGTTCTTCCTCCATTTTCCCCACTTAGTAGATGGCACCTCCGTCTGCCCTGTTGGGAAGCTTGGAAATCATCCTTAACACCTCCTTCTCCCTCTGTACCCCAAACCCAGACATCTACCCAGTCACCAAGTTCTCAAATTTCCTCTTCTAAAACGTGACTTGAACCACGCCACTGCTTACTCACTCCACTGCTGCTACTCGGAGCACAGCACCGCCCACCTTCCCCTGGACTGCAGACTCTGAGAGCCTCCCAGTCGGTCTCCCCACAGCTTCCTGGCCTCCCTCCAGGCCACTCTTGGCTTCCAGTAGCAGCCAAAGGAAAAAATTAAACATAAATGTCAACATATCACTTCCCTGCTTAACACCCTTTGCTGTTAGGACGAAGTTCAAAATGTTTAGTGTGTCCTTCAAGGCTCTGATCAGCTCCAGCAAATCTCTCAAGCTTTTTTGTTCCCGGCTCTCCTCTCCTCTGCAATGTGTTCCTCCCTGCCCTTCACCCTCAGAACACACCGTTCCCTCTTCCTGAAACACTCCCACTCACCCCCTCCACTCCTTTTGCCAGCTTTATTCCTGCTCATCCTTCGGGCCTCACTGTGACTTCCATTTCTTCAGGAAACACTTCCTTGACACTTGCTGGCAAGAAAGCTCCTTAATACTTTTCCTCCCTATCCTTTAGCACAGTTGTGATTATATAGTTATTATATTTGTGATTGTTCCATGAACGATTGAATCCGTGAATGCTATTTGTTGGATTATTGCATGAATAGTTCCACAAGGGCAGCAACCCAACCAGTTTCAGTTCCCACTCTGCTCAGTGCTGAGTGTACTACCTAGTGTAGGTAAGCACCTAATAAGTATTGGTAGAAAGAGTCAAGCCACTAATACCATACAAATAAAAATAATAGTGTGAATAGTAATAATAAAGAGGAGTGATAATAGATCTAAGAAAGCTGGACACTGTGGAAGTATTTCTGTAATAAACAAAATGGCATGAGCAAATATTTCCCACATTACCTTTTTTCCCCAGTGATGTCTCCATTTGTACTCTTAGCAGTTTTTTTTTTCCGAGTAGTAGAGGTACTGTCAGTAATATTTCAATCTCTTTTTCAATAAGAAAATGGGATGAACTGAGTTGCATGTAGTAGCCCCATCTCTATGAAGTTTTTTGAGATTGAAATATTCCCCATTTGTGATTTTGCTGAACAGTTTATTCATTTCCTAAATGTCTAGCAGCGCCGCTAATTACAATGAAGACCTAGCCAGCAGTTTTCTCTCCCTCAGGTGAACTTGAATAACATGTTTGCTTCTTTTCTTATGGCATTCGTACCGCCTTTGCTGCATTATAGCCATTTATAGGCATGTCTTCTGTCCCCTATTAGGGAACTCTAAGCTCATCACTCTGCTACTTGATTGTGAATGTCAGCCATTTGGTCTCCAGTGCCCAGATTCCTGGGTGTAAGCAGCTTTACGTTCTCAGAATTTGAAACTACAGTATTTTGATTATTCATGTGGACTTTTCCTAACCCTAGGAAAATAACCTCAGATCCCGAGAAACATTCATTTTTTTAAATAAAAGGGATTCCTGTGGCTAAGGCAGTGTGAGAACGATCGCTGAATGAAATAATGAGTTCACTGGCAGCCTAAAAGTTTTTGCCTGGAGGTAGTATTAAAGTTCATTGACTTGGAGTCTACGGAGAAAGCTCAAATATAAAAAGCATTATGTAATGTTTTGCTTTATAGTAAGGGATGTGCTAATCTGATTTCAAGAAAAAAAAAAGAACCTATATTTTTAAATTGCTATAATACTTTCAAGTGGAATTAATCATCCTTCCAAGACAAACAGATTTTTACAGAATAATAAATACAATATACGACATTGTGCTTATAGTTAACAATACTGTATGGTATTTTTAAAATTCAAGAGGATAGATCTCATATTATGTGTTTTTACCACAATACAAAATTATGCAAAATTAAAAAAAATAATAATAAAATAAAAATAAATAAATAAAATAAATAAATACAATATACAGAAACAACCAGAGGAAGAAGTGGATTCTAGGATTGCTGAAAGTTAAGAATACTTCTTCATATTTAGCAAGTAGCATAGCTGTCTTAGAAGTTACCTGTTGATTAAAGTCCTAAGCTGCATTTCCAGTCTGTTTTATGGGTTCAAAATCATCACTTTTATTGGAAAATCCTCTTAGTAATAAAATCCTAATCCTGCTTTAAATGTTCTATCTTAATTAAAACATCATATTTGATTATCTTAAGACATTGGTTTTTCATGTAGGTTTATAAAATAGAATTTGTCCATATATGTTCACCCTGCCTTCCTACGATAGGATTGCTACAACTCAGAGTAATGAATGAGTTACTTATTAAAATCCAGTATTGTTGTCTCATTTGTTAGAAATTCCTATTTGCCCATTTCTTCTGGTTAGAATTTATTTCTTGTAGCTTAACTCATCTGTGCCATTCATGCCTGGAGAATATATTCTTCTTTGTACATTATTTTTAAAAACTAATAAGGCCATTATAGGATGTACAGACTTTTCCCACTTTCTAAACAGACATTTTCATGAGTTGCTAGAAGGGAACAGTACTCTGTTTACAACCTTCTATTTCTACACTTTTGACTCTTACCCTCTGATCATTTGCATGTAAAATATATTATTTCTTAAGATTTTCCAATATATAATAGCCTTGGTTGTATTCTTTAAATCAATCTTAAAAACACCCTAAAGAAGTTTCTTAGACCTCCAATT